AAAAACAAAGCCTGTAATTGTTTTACATGATGGTGGGATTGCTGGTGCCTTTTTTCTGTCTCATGAACATGCAAGATTTCAGGTACGTCTTGCTACTTCACTTACACTTGGGTCACACTACACATACTGTACAAGCACATATATACACACCCCTCTGGGTTTTCTTCTATTTTCTTTCTAGTTCTTATTCTTGTTTATTTCCTCTTATCTCCATGGGAAGTGGAACAAAATTTCCTTCCTCCGTAAGCCAGCGTGTTGTAAGAGGCAACTAAAATGCCGGGAGCAAGGGGCTAGTAACCTCTTCTCCTGTATATATTACTAAATGTAAAAGGAGAAACTTTCGTTTTTCCTTTTTGGGCCACCCCGCCTCGGTGGGATACGGCCGGTGTGTTGAAAAAGAAAAAAAAAAAAAAAAAAAAAAATATATATATATATATAATATATATAAAATATATATATATATATATATATATATAGGGTTGTTGAGGTGGTTCGGACATGTAGAGAGAAGGGAGCGAAACAGAATGACTTCAAGAGTGTTCATCTGTAGTGGAAGGAAGGCGGGGTAGGGGTGGGCCTGGGAAAGGGTTTGGGAGGGAGGGGTAAAGGAGGTTTTGTGTGCGAGGGGTTTGGACTTCCAGCAGGCATGCGTGAGCGTGTTTGAAGGAGTGAATGGAGACAATGGTTTTTAATACTTGACTGCTTTTTGGAGTGTGAGCAAAGTAACATTTATGAAGGGATTCAGGGAAACCGGCAGGCCGGACTTGAGTCCTGGAGATGGAAGTACAGTGCCTGCACTCTGAAGGAGGGGTGTTTTAAAGTTGCAGTTTAAAAACCCGTAGTGTAAAAACACCCTTCCCGGCAAGACAGTGATGGATGAATGATGGTGAAAGTTTTTCTTTTTCGGCCACCCCGCCTTGGTGGGAATCGGCCGGTGTGATAATAAATAAAATATATATATATAATATATATATAATATATATATATATATATAATATATATATATATATATATATATATATATATTATGTATGTATGTATAATATAAAATATATATATAAAGTCGTGCCGAATAGGCAGAACTTGCGATCTTGGCTTAAATAGCAACGGGTCATCTTGCCATATAAGACAAGTGAAAATTTGTGTAGGGAATAATTTCGCCAAAATCTTCTGAACCTAACGAAAAAAATATATTTCACTGTGTTTGTTTAGTATTAAATTACTGTAAACAAATCTAAAATATATTTAGTTGGATTTGGCTAAAATAAATTGCTCTTTTTATAATAGGTTAGGTAAGTTTTCTAATTCCTTTTGGTGCAAAATTATAAATTTTTACATCAACATTAATGAAAAAAAAAATATCTTTAAACGTATAAGAGAAAATTTTAGAAAGGACTTAATTATAAATGAGTTCTTGCTAATTTTACCAGTTTTACAATTCGGCACGAATATATATTTTAAAATATATATATATATATATATATATATATATATATATATATATATATATATATATATATATATTATATATATATATATTATATATATATACAGTGGACCCCCGTTAACGATTTTATCCGTGCAAGGGGGTAATTGTTTTGCGAAATAATCGCTATGTGAATGAATTTTCCCCATAAGAAATAATGGAAATCAAATTAATCCCCTGCAAGACACCCAAAAGTATGAAAAAAAAATTTTACCACATGAAATAACTTTTTTCCCACACACAAAAGAAGGATACTGCACAATATTAAGTAGTACTGCACAGTAATATTTTCATGTACTAGTCTACAAAAAAAAAATAAAGAACTTTCCTTTTTTGAAGATGCACAATGACTGAGAGAACGTGTCCTGGGGGGCCTTTTTTTTTCCCCCTGATAGTAGGCCCGTTTGCATTTTCTTCCCGAACGGGGGCCTTACACACTGTGTATGCCATACGATTTTTTAAATCCTCAAACCAACCTTTTCTGGCTTTAAATTCCCAAAATGACACTAGTTCCAGGGATTTTTTTTCCCCGTTTTCCCCGGGGGTTAGTCCCACTTGTGTGGGTTGCATCCTGGGAGACAAGATTAAGGACCCCAATGGAAATAATTTTGACAGTCTTCGTGACACGACTTTTTGGTTATCCTGGGTGGGAAATCCTCTGGGTTAAAATTTTTTTGGTATTCTCAATAAGCCACACCCAACAACGGGCTACACACACAGCACTACAGTGCTGCAGCAGCACACACTGACAGTGCACAGCAGCAGCAGCTGTACCACCAAATAGCGAGGTTTTAATTTGGGGTTTTTTATACAACCCCCACCGGGACATCACTCCACTTTCATACTTATCAAAAGACTTTTTTCTTCATCTCTATTGTAATTCCACCCTTACTCTGTAGGGTTGGCACTAAAGCTTTCTTGGGGGCCCCTGGGCACTTATTTTCCAAAAAAACACCGAAAACACGTAATAATAAAAAATATTTTCCCATTGTATGCTTGGGTGTTACCCCGGAGGTGGCTGGTAAACAAAGCCACCGGGGGAACATGTGAGCGTGGCTCAGGCCCCATTGACGCGTCTCGGACAAAATCGGGAACGGGGGTTTTTAAACGGTATGCGAGGCAAAAATTTTTTCAAATTTAAAATAAGCGGGATGCGAAAAAACCCCTATTGATGCCCCCGTTATGCGGGGGTCCACTGAATATTAATATATATATATAAAATATATATATATAAATAATATATATAATATATATATATAAATCTGGAGTATCTGAGAGAGTTAGAGCAAAGGAAGGGGTAGCAGTAATGTTAAATGATCAGTTATGGAAGGAGAAAAGAGAATAGAATGTGTAAATTCAAGAATTATGTGGAAATTTAAAATAAAGGTTGGATGCGAAAAGTGGGGCATAATAAGCGTGTTATGCACCTGGAGAAGAGAGGAATGAAAAGGAGAAGAGAGAGATTTTGGGAGATGTTAAGTGAATGTATAGGAGCCTTTGAACCAAGTGAGAGAGTAATTGTGGTAGGGGGCCTGAATGCTAAAGTAGGAGAAACTTTAGAGAGGTGGGGGTAGGGAAGTTTGGGGTGCCAGGTGTAAATGATAATGGGATCCCTTTGATTGAACTTTGTATAGAAAGGGTTTAGTTATAGGTTTAAAACATATTTTAAGAAAAAGAGGATAAATAAGTATACAAGATATATGTAGGGCAAAATGACAGTAGTTTGTTGGATTATGTATTGGTAGATAAAAGACTGTTGAGTAGACTTCAGGATGTACATGTTTATAGAGGGGCCACAGATATATTAGATCACTTTCTAGTTGTAGCTACACTGAGAGTAAAAGGTAGATGGGATACAAGGAGAATAGAAGCATCAGGGAAGAGAGAGGTGAAGGTTTATAAACTAAAAGAGGAGGCAGTTAGGGTAAGATATAAACAGCTATTGGAGGATAGATGGGCTAATGAGAGCATAGGCAATGGGGTCGAAGAGGTATGGGGTAGGTTTAAAAATGTAGTGTTAGTTTCAGCAGAAGTTTGTGGTTACAGGAAAGTGTGTGCGGGAGGAAGAGGAGCGATTGGTGGAATGATGATGTAAAGAGAGTAGTAAGGGAGAAAAAGTTAGCACATGAGAAGTTTTTACAAAGTAGAAGTGATGCAAGGAGGGAAGAGTATATGGAGAAAAAGAGAGAGGTTAAGAGAGTGGTGAAGCAATGTAAAAAGAGAGCAAATGAGAGAGTGGGTGAGATGTTATCAACAAATTTTGTTGAAAATAAGAAAAAGTTTTGGAGTGAGATTAACAAGTTAAGAAAGCCTAGAGAACAAATGGATTTGTCAGTTAAAAATAGGAGAGGAGTTATTAAATGGAGAGTTAGAGGTATTGGGAAGATGGAGGGAATATTTTGAGGAATTGTTAAATGTTGATGAAGATAGGGAAGCTGTGATTTCGTGTATAGGACAAGGAGGAATAACATCTTGTAGGAGTGAGGAAGAGCCAGTTGTGAGTGTGGGGGAAGTTCGTGAGGCAGTAGGTAAAATGAAAGGGGGTAAGGCAACCAGGATTGATGGGATAAAGATAGAAATGTTAAAACCAGGTGAGGATATAGTTCTGGAGTGGTTGGTGCAATTATTTAATAAATGTGTGGAAGAGGGTAAGGTACCTAGGGATTGGCAGAGAGCATGCATAGTTCCTTTGTATAAAGGCAAAGGGGATAAAAGAGAGTGCAAAAATTATAGGGGATAAGTCGTTGAGTATACCTGGTAAAGTGTAGGGTAGAGTTATTATTGAAAGAATTAAGAGTAAGACGGAGAATAGGATAGCAGATGAACAAGGAGGCTTTAGGAAAGGTAGGGGGTGTGTGGACCAGGTTTTTACAGTGAAACAATAAGTGAACAGTATTTAGATAAGGCTAAAGAGAGGCCCTTTGTGGCATTTATGGATTTGGAAAAGGCATATGACAGGGTGGATAGGGGGGCAATGTGGCAGATGTTGCAAGTGTATGGTGTAGGAGGTGGGTTACTGAAACCCGGTGAAGAGTTTATTACGAGGAAGTGAGGCTCAAGTTAGAGAAATGTAGGAAAGAGGGAAATTATTTCCCAGTAAAAGTAGGCCTTAGACAAGGATGTGTGATGTCACCGGGGTTTTGTTTAATTATTTATAGAGGGGGTTGTAAGAGAAGTAAATGCGAGGGTCCTTGGCAAGAGGCGTGGAGTTAAAAGATAAAGAATCACACACAAAGTGGGAGTTGTCACAGCGCTCTTTGCTGTTTGACACTGTGCTCTTGGGAGATTCTGAAGAGAAGTTGCAGAGATTGGTGGATGAATTTGGTAGGGTGTGCAAAAGAAAAAAATTAAAAGGTAAATACAGGAAAGAGTAAGGTTATGAGGAAAACAAAAAGATTAGGGATGAAGTTTTAAATTTCAATTGGAGGAGAGAGAAATGGAGGAGGTGAATGTATTCAGATATTTGGGAGTGGACGGTCAGCGGATGGGTCAATGAAAGATAGGTGAACATAGAATTGATGAGGGGAAAAGAGTGAGTGGTGCACTTAGGAGTCTGTGGAGACAAAGAACTTTGTCCCTTGGAGGAAAAGAGGGGAATGTATGAGAGTATAGTTTTACCAATGCTCTTATTTTGGGTGTGAAGAAATGGGTGATAAAATGTTGCAGCAAGGAGAAGGCTGGAGGCATGGAGATGTCAATTCTGAGGGCAATGTGGGGTGTGAATATAATGCAGAGAATTCGTAGTTTGGAAGTTAGGAGGAGGTGCGGGATTACCAAAACTGTTGTCCAGAGGCTGAGGAAGGGTTGTTGAGGTGGTTCGGACATGTAGAGAGAATGGGGCGAAACAGAATGACTTCAAGAGTGTATCAGTCTGTAGGGAAAAGGAAGGCGGGGTAGGGGTCGGCCTAGGAAAGGTGGAGAGAGGGGGTAAAGGAGGTTTTGTGTGCGAGGGGCTTGGACTTCCAGCAGGCATGCGTGGAGCGTGTTTGATAGGAGTGAATGGAGACAAATGGTTTTTAATACTTGACGTGCTGTTGGAGTGTGAGCAAAGTAACATATATGAAGGGGTTCAGGGAAACCGGCAGGCCGGACTTGAGTCCTGGAGATGGGAAGTACAGTGCCTGCACTCTGAAGGAGGGGTGTTAATGTTGCAGTTTAAAAACTGTAGTGTAAAGCACCCTTCTGGCAAGACAGTGATGGAGTGAATGATGGTGAAAGTTTTTCTTTTTTCGGGCCACCCTGCCTTGGTGGGAATCGGCCAGTGTGATAATAATAATAAAAAAAAAAAAAAAAAAATTAATTAATATATATATATGCATGCTTGTACATGTATGTGTAGTGTGACCTAAGTAGAAGTAGCAAGACGTACCTGAAATCTTGCATGTGTACGAGACAGGAAAAAAAAAAGACACCAGCAATCCTACCATCGTGTAAAACAATTACAGGCTTCCGTTTTACACTCACTTGGCAGGATGGCAGTACGTACCTCCCTGGGCGGTTGCTGTCTACCAACCTACTACCTAGGATGTATCAATTATTAAACGTAAAAAAGAAAACCTCTATAAAGAAAATGTTTCTTCTTTTTCAGGTCACCATACCTTGGTGGATCACAGCCGGAGGAGGAAAAAAAAAAAACGTGAATGGTGGCCATCTCTAGGATACTGAATTTGCTTCTGTTATTGTCCTGAAATGGTTGTTGTGTAGCACCCATGTTTACAGCAAGGAAATTTATCTTGCATTTGGCTATGTATGCATCACTGGTATATCAATCCTACACATGTATTTGTGTTCTTGAAGAATTCCAAGGTTATGCAATGCACAATTTACTGCACCCAACACCTAATTCTTTAGTCCCCTGTGGTAGTGGTGATTTTGGATTTGTAAGCCCGGTGATTTCTTTAATAGTTTTAGAAATAACAGCAGCCATGTCCAGGGACATCATCCACCTTAGACGTCTCATGAGCTTGTCCTTGAGGTACTCATTCACCTTATAAAGTGGTTGGTGTTTTGGTGTGTTTCCTGTAGACTTTATATGTCCAGCCTTGAATGATACATAACATTTGCAAAGATTTCCCTACAATAGTGTGCCTTTTTATCCATTCCTTCCACTCCTTCTGGCATCTTTCATGCATATTTGCTCACTTTCACATCCCTCCTGCTCATTAGCTTGCACCTTCCTTTTCACATCTCTAATAATTTTTCATGAATTCCTCCGGCTGCTTGCTTCCTCCCTCTTTTCAGTGTCCCTCCTGTTCATAACCCCCTTCCGTTCACTCCCATATCCCATATCTGCATCCCCTTCACAACCTTCTTGCTCCCTTCTTCATCCATATCTCTTGCTCCCTTATTTACTCAATTTGCTAATTCAAACCTATCATACACTGATTCACTCACCTGCTCATTCATCATGCAAGTTCCAAATGAACAGAAGAAACAACAGAATAATCTACACTGTATTATCAATGTTAAACATACCTTTAAAGACCAAACTCCTGATCCAAAAATAACAGAAATTAAGTGAATGATAATCACACCAAACTGGGCTTCAGTTACATCGACAAAACCAAATCGAAGGGTTCCTGAAAAAGAAAACTATTATTAATGTAGCACACATCAATGTCCAGAACAATTAATAAAGAAGTGAGAATCGAAAATGACAAGTTTATTGCTATTTAACCATCAATACATTGCTTTAATACACATTATTACCCAGCACTAGTTTTGTTCTCCACCACAATGGACTTGTTTTCTTTACCTTGATTAATTCCCCATCATATTACAGAAATCATTAGAAAGCAAACAAATAGTTAAAGTCAATTACAGAATTCACATTCCACAAACCATGTCTATAACTTGTTCCAAACCACTGACTATAAGCCACAGCAAATTAAATGAAAGTGAAAATATCCCCACCATTTATAGCCAGTGATGCTGGGTTCTTAATTAGACAAGCACTATATGGGGAGTGGCACACATGGTGGGGAGGTGGTCTGGTACACATGGAGAAGTCCCTATTCTTTAGATACCAACTTAGTTTACCGACCCCAGGGTTGCTTACGAAGATCTATACTTTGAGCTTAGCTCCCTCAGGTAAGTTGTGATTGGTAAATCTTGGCCTAGATATGAGAGAATGGGTGTGTGGCGAGTGCACAAAATAAAAAAAATTCTGCCTTCACATGGTGCATGATGAAAAAGTAAAATTCAGGAAGTAGCATGAAAGTGCACTCAAAGTAGTGGAAATATTTAATTTTTTTAGACTTTCCTGAGGATGGGTAAGTCCCCCCTATAATAATAATAAATAATATAGCAATAAGTACAGTGCCCGCACTCTAAAGGAGGGATATCTGCTGTTTAGATGAACATCTAAACTGTGGTATCTCCGCACCTCTGGCAAGACAGTAATAGTGTAAATGATGGTGAAGGTTTCTTTTTCAGGTCACCCTGCCTTGGTTGGGAAAGGCCAGTATGTTTTAAAAAAATAATAGTAGGCAATTTGAGATGGAGAGGTTCTGACCATTTAAGAGAACTGGGTTTAAATTATTTGTAATTTTAATCCTTGCTAACTACAGCAACTGAATTTTTACCAGTTAGGCGGACTTGAGTCCTCGAGGTGGGAAGTACAGTGCCTGCACTCTGAAGGAGGGATGGGGACATTTGCAGTTTGGAGGGGCATCTGAACTGTAGTGTCTGCACATCTCTGACAAAACAGTGATGGAGTGAATGATTCAAATTCAGATTTTTACTTCTTTTATGCAGTACACAGATAATCTAGTTTACATGTAATAAAGTACTGTTAGGCACAAAAGAAAGCCACTAGTATGCAATGCACTTCAGGCAAACTAATCCTAATGTTCATAGACCACTTAAGAACTAGACACAGATCATTTAGTAGGATTTCTTAAATGTACAGAGGTATCTAAATGAGCAACAGTACCATTTTAAAAGTCTGCATTAATATTTCAAACTGATTCAATGATCTTCAGTTAAATAGGATTTCTTAAGCAGTTAACTACTATTATATGAAAGGTACAATTTTAAAAGTATGATTTGTTGGTGAAAGCATTTCTTTATAAGGTCTTTAAAAAAACCAGTGCAGATAGTTCAGATCTATCTCATGGTATATCTTGATGGAAAAATCTATGAACCTTCAAGCTTTCATAAGTGGATTCCAACCTAGTGATGAATGCTCAAATACTGGCCTCAATGATGATGTATTATATTCCCTTGAAGCAATTATTATTACTGAGCTTTTGGGAAACCTATTACTTTCATTAATATTGCATACATCATTGGAATTACGTAAGTTATGTAGACCTTTGGCTACAGGCTGTGTTATGTCTAGCCCTTCTATCTTTCCTTACTAACACTGACAACTACATGTCTCCCTCTCAGTACAGAACCTGACAAAAATTATCCACTACCACCAATCTTCATCACCGTACAATTATCAGGGATGAATGAGTAACAAGTACTACAAACTTGGATCACCTGCTATGTGAAAGGTACAAGCCACAAAACATGCTCTGCACATAATTCTTACAAAAAATATCTTCTTCTTTCAACAAACTGGCTGTATCCCACCAAAGCAGGGCAGCCCAAAAAAGAAAAACAAAAGCTTCTCTTTTTAACTTCAGTAATGTACACAGGAGGTGGTGGTGGTTTGGTCATTTAGAGAGAATAGATCAAAGTAGAATGACATGGAGAGCGTATAAATCTGTAGGGGAAGGAAGGCGGGGTAGGAGTCGTCCTCGAAAAGGTCGGAGGGAGGGGGTAAAGGAGGTTTTGTGGGCGAGGGGCTTAGACTTCCTGCAAGCATGCGTGAGCATGTTAGATAGGAGTGAATGGGGACGAATGGTATTTGGGACCTGACGAGCTGTTGGAGTGTGAGCAGGGTAATATTTAGTGAAGGGATTCAGGGAAACCAGTTATTTTATTTAGCCAGACTAGAGTCTTGGAAATGGGAAGTACAATGCCTCCACTTTAAAGGAGGGGTTTGGGATATTGGCAGTTTGGGGGGATATGTTGTGTATCTTTACACGTATTTACTTCTAAACTGCTGTATTGTGAGCACCTCTGCAAAAACAGTGATTATTTGTGAGTGAGGTGAAAGTGTTGAATGATGATGAAATTATTTTCTTTTTGGGGATTTTCTTTCTTTTTGGGTCGCCCTGCCTCAGTGGGAGACGGCCGACTTGTTAAAAAAAAAAAAAAAAATTATGCGACATTTCCAGGCTCCTACAATTTCAGCAACAATTGCATTTCCCCTACTCATTCATTCACTTAGCAGAATAACCTTCCTTTCTCTAATCCATGCTTACTGTATTTATTTACAGAAGCTCAAGCACACAAGATGGCACAGGTTTATCTATCTTGCTTCCAATATGCATGTAGGGTACTAAATTTCATTTAGACTCACCCGATACGTAAGTTTGCCAGTGTGCACAATAGAAGAGACTAACAGCCATCATGCACTGAAAGAACATCCAGTATGGATGGGTTCCCAGGCACACAGAACAGCATACCCCAAGAGAGACAAACACTGCAACAAACAAGACAATGTAAAAATTATAATGGTATCCAATACTGACAAGGTGATGAAAAAGGAAAAGAGCAACATTTTTGCATCTTCATTGCTGAAAAGTTCTGCTTGTACAACAAGCTTCTTCAGTTGAATACAGGCAAATATAACACACAAAATGATATAGTAGCAGTTTTGATGTGATCAATCTGTCAGCTGATTAATCACGTCAAAACTACTACTGTTTCCTGTATTACATTTACATGTATTTAACTGAAGAAGCCTTTTGTGCAGGTGAAAATTTTCAGCAATAAAGATACAAAAATGGTGCACCAATCTTATTCATCAGTACAAAGTATTATAAATACTAAATAAATTAATCTTGCTTGCAATAGGTAGTTTGATGAATTATAAAATAATACAGGTAAACAATAACTTTTACTTTCTTCTCATTACAAATACATGACCACCGTACAGAACTTAAACTAATGAAATAATGGTGTCCTTCAACACTTGTTTGTACTAGATGAACATGTGACAAGTGGGGTAACAGTGAAGTACCTGGTGGCATATCATGAAATAATGCTAGGGTAAGCAAATGATACTGACCTTGATAAATATTTTTTCTTTGAATCAATTAACAAATACAAAAAGGAAGAAGTAACAAACTATTATTTAACTTTCAGCATAATTCAGTGAAATTTATCTTGGCTTTTAAGCAAACAAAAGCTCACTGTAACACTAAGCTATGAACTGGCACAGTACAGGAATTCAGTTTTTAAATACACTTGTGTCATGAATTGCTCTCACTATCAATCCAAGTATATGTCTACATTTTTAATGGTTCGTTATGACTGGGACTTATTTATTTATCAGGCCATTAACTTAACATCTTCAAAGCACTGATTAACTTCAATCAAAAGACCCTATAAAAACATCTGAAGAATATCAAACTAAGTATCTGATACAAGATCACATTAATGGAAATGAAATTGTTCAATGAGTATTAAAGTCATACCAAATATTGTAAATAATTAAAATTGTCCCACCTGTAGAAAGTGAATCACAGCCATGATCAAAGAGCTCTCCGAGCGGAGAAGATGTGCCAGTGCGTCTTGCTTGCTTCCCATCAATTGCATCGAGGCTCTGGTAGATAAACAGCCCTAGAGCACAAAGAAAACAGGCCCAACGAGGCACCTGCCAAAATAAAATATTTGTAAGAACACTAACAAAAAACTGTGTGTGAAGGGGTTATTAGCCCCTTCCTCCTGACATTTTAGTTGCCTCTTATGACAAACATGACTTACAGAGGAAAAATTCTCTTCCACTTTCCCATGGAGAAAAATATATATTGCATAAAAAGTTTAAAGACAAACTAAAAAAAAAATGCTCAAAAACACTAATTGCCCTCTTTGGTGGATAAACAGTACAAGTATAAAGGGAGATATGATACAGAGGAACCTCGGTTTTTTGTATTACCTGGAGAGAGTTCCGGGGATCAATGCCCCTGTGGCCAGGTCTCTTGGTGGATCAAGGCCTGATCAACCAGGCTGTTACTGCTGGCTGCATGCAATCCAACGTATGAACCACAGCCCGGCTGGTCAGGTACTGACTTTAGGTGCTTGTCCAGTGCCTGCTTGAAGACAGCCAGGGATCTATTGGTAATCCCCTTTATGTATGCTGGGATGCAGTTGAACAGTCTTGGGCCACTGACACTTACTGTGTTGTGGCTTACTGTGCTAGTGACACCCCTGCTTTTCATTGGGGGGATGTTGCATCGTCTGCCAAGTCTTTTGCTTTTGTAGAGAGTGATTTTCGTGTGCAAGTTTGGTACTAGTCCCTCTAGGATTTTCCAGGAGTATATAATCATGCATCTCTCCCGCCTGAGTTCCAGGGAGTACAGGTTCAGGAACTCCAAGCGCTCCCAGTAATTGAGGTGTTTTATTTCAGTTATGCATGCTGTGAAGGTTCTCTGTACATTTTCTAGGTCAGCAATTTCACCTGCCCTGAAAGGTGCTGTTAGTGTGCAGCAATATTCCAGCCTAGATAGAACAAGCGACCTGAAGAGTGTCATCATGGGCTTGGCATCCCTAGTTTTGAAGGTTCTCATTATCCATCCTGTCATTTTTCTAGCAGATGCGATTGATACAATGTTATGGTCCTTGAAGGCGAGATCCTCCGACATGATCACTCCAAGGTCTTTGACGTTAGTTTCTCGCTCTACTGTGTGGTTGTAATTTTTTTTTATACCTGATGAAGTTTTAATTTCCTCACGTTTACCATATCGGAGTAATTGAAATTTCTCATCGTTGAACTTCATACTGTTTTCTGCAGCCCATTGAACGATTTGGTTGATGTCCGCCTGGAGCCTTGCAGTGTCTGCAATGGAAGACACTGTCATGCAGATTCGGGTGTCATCTGCAAAGGAAGACGATGCTATGGCTTACATCCCTGTCTATGTCAGATATGAGGATGAGGAACAAGATGGGAGTGAGTACTGTGCCTTGTGGAACAGAGCTTTTCACCGTAGCCACCTCAGACTACTCTGTTGACTACTACTACTCTGTTCTATTTGTCAGGAATTTAAAGATTCATCTACCAACTTTTCCTGTTATTCCTTTAGCACACATTTTGTGCGCTATTACGCCATGGTCACACTTGTCGAAGGCTTTTGCAAAGTCTGCGTATATTACATCTGCATTTTTTCGTCTTCTAGTGCATCTAGGACCTTGTCGTAGTGTATGCCCTGGTTTTAGTAGGATTTGGTTTTCGACGGCTTTTTTTGGCAAAATTTTGTCCCAGTTTTTGTACATCCACTCGGTTTTCATAGAGTTGCTGTGCCAAACGCGTTTGCCTGCCCGCACCCACACAAAGCATCACATGGGTTGAGACTCAGTCTGCCTGTTCCTCGTTGATTGAGCATCACCCCGCGCATTCATCCAAAACATTTCATAAAAATCCATTGTTTTTTGTACTTGTTTATTAAGTGCGACTGCTAAATAAGCCACCATGGGGCCAAAGAAAGTTCTGAGTGTCAGCCCTTTGATAGAGAAGGTGAGAATCACAATAGAATTCAAGAAAGAACTTGTAGCAAAGTACAAAAGTGCTGGTACTGTACTTCTCATCTCCAGGAATCATGTCCGGCCTGCCGGGCTGGACTTGATTCCTGGACAATATTCAATATTCAAGGACAATATTCAATATTCAAGGGAAGAACTAAACCCATATGGGTTATACAGTGCTCAGGGGAATGAGAGGTAACAAGGTTTAATCCACATAGGGAGAGAAGAGGTCCATTTCCATACAGCCTGAGACCCTTAGTGGTATCAAGGAACTGTCTTTGAGGGGATAAAAGATTATAAAATGATACAAAAGGATAAAGATATCTTAGCATATGAACCAGAAGAAAACGAGGCCACATTTATAAACAGAGATAAAACCACTGTCAGAATACTAATACTGTACATTAATTATTATATTCATGGGAAAGAGCTAAATCTATAGGGGTCATGTAGTGCCTATGAAAGGAAGGTAGTCTAGACTGATCCAAAGAAAATAGTTAGTTCAAATTCCATGTATTTGGAGCCCATCAGAAGACTGTAATTGTATATAAAAGGTAATGATACAACTACTGGAAATTTTAAAGCTTTTACACTGACTGAACACTGATTATGATGCACCAAGAGTATAGCTCTTGTAGCTACAAATACATAAACACCAATTGAGCAGCAAAACTTAATCCATTCCTCTTTTTAATGTGTAACTATATAACTGGTACAGCATTACTGATGAAAAGGTGCATTGGATTTAGATAGAACACACTATACTGTGGATAAAAATTATACATTAACAACTAAAGAACAATGTTCATGCCTCATGTTTGGTATAGGCTCTAAAGGTTTCAAGGAATATGATTTACCCATTACTTGATAGGAGTGAATGGAGACAAATAGTTTTTAATACTTGACGTGCTGTTGGAGTGTGAGCAAAGTAACATTTATGAAGGGGTTCAGGGAAACTGGTAGGCCGGACTTGAGTCCTGGAGATGGGAAGTACAGTGCCTGCACTCTGAAGGAGGAGTGTTAATGTTGCAGTTTAAAAACTGTAGTGTAAAGCACCCTTCTGGCAAGACAGTGATGGAGTGAATGATGGTGAAAGTTTTTCTTTTTCGGGCCACCCTGCCTTGGTGGGAATCGGCCAATGTGATAATAAAATAAAAAAATTACTTGCACTATTCACTTACCTCCTGCTTAGCATCTGGGCTGTAGTATACTAAGAGTAATGAGGTGATGACGTTGATCAGCAGACCGGCAATGGTGATGAGATTAGGAGCAAGAGTCATGGAACACTGTTCAACCAGATAGCACCACCACTTCTGCATCATGGGGTCCATCAAAGAACTTGATGCACAAGAGTACTTGTGTTCCTCCAGCCGGCGTAACTGTACGTGGCTCAGCTGACCCATCGTGAGAATTTGGAGCCTTGCTTTTGAAGACACTTGTGATGGTGTTGACCTACTAGTTTAGTCTGCACTTTTCCACCAATAGGAAAAAGAAGAAAAAAAAGAAAAGAAAAAAAATATGCTTGACTTGTATATTGCAAAATAATTCCTTTATCAGAAGCTTTTCAATAAAGTCATTCTGAAACACCACTATGCTTTTATCACATCTAAAAAGCCATAGATATATAATTTTCTACTATCCACGTTCCCTTCTGTCATCTTCACTATAGCAATGAACATTATTTATAGACATCAGTCTTCTCTCTTAACTGGTAGTTGTGCTACCAACTGTTTTCATCACATGAACATCCAATGTCACACCTGAAAAATTAGAGAAACTATATATCATAGAGAAAATCGTAATTTCTGACTTTTTACATTTTACATCTGACGTCAAATGAAAAAAGTGACTCCAATAATTCTGTACTTTAAATTGTGTATATAGGGTATAATTTCTTATTCAGTAATATTCAAAACAGGCATTAAAGCTAGGTATGTGTTGAAGTATCTTTTTTTTTTTTTTTCAACAAGTCGGCCGTCTCCCACCGAGGCAGGGTGACCCAAAAAAGAAAGAAAATCCCAAAAAAGAAAATACTTTCATCATTCAACACTTTCACCACACTCACACATTATCACTGTTTTTGCAGAGATGCTCAGAATACAACAGTTTAGAAGCATATACATATAAAAATACACAACATATCCCTCCAAACTGCCAATATCCCAAACCCCTCCTTTAAAGTGCAGGCATTGTACTTCCCATTTCCAGAACTTAAGTCCGACTATATGAAAATAACCGGTTTCCCTGAATCCCTTCACTAAATATTACCCTGCTCACACTCCAACAGATCATCAGGTCCCAAGTACCATTCGTCTCTATTCACTCCTATCGAACACGCTCACGCACGCTTGCTGGAAGTCCAAGCCCCTTGCCCACAAAACCTCCTTTACCCCCTCTCTCCAACCCTTTTGAGGACGACCCCTACCCCGCCTTCTTTCCCCTATAGATTTATATGCTTTCCATGTCATTCTACTTTGATCCATTCTCTCTAAATGACCAAACCACCTCAACAACCCCTCTTCTGCCCTCTGACTAATACTTTTATTAACTCCACACCTTCTCCTAATTTCCACACTCCAAATTTTCTGCATAATATTTACACCACACATTGCCCTTAGACAGGACATCTCCACTGCCTCCAACCGTCTCCTCGCTGCTGCATTTACCACCAAAGCTTCACATCCATATATGAGTGTTGGTACTACTATACTTTCATTCATTCAGCTGATTTTAATGGCACTGATATCAGCCTAAAACTGAGTATCGATATCGGAGAGCTTACGTTAATTTTGATGGTATCAGTACTTGTATCAGCTAATTTTTAAAGTATTGGTATCAGCCTAATACTGAGCATTACTACATATTGACACTACAATTTTGTATTGTAGTACTCTACCTCAATATTACATTTGAACATAAAGATGAAGGAGCACTGTAGACAACCCCTCTCACTTATGTATTTATCCACCCAATTTTTGAAGTTACCTAAATACTTGTCTAAGCAGTAATTTACACTAATTGCCCTAATCTCCAATTACCAATGGTTCTTTAATATACAGTACAAAGTTTTGCTCCTGAAAATTATCATTACATTTATTAATCTTCAGATTATTTAATTATATTAAACCTAGCATTCAAAACATCTCCATTCAACTATATAACAAGAGAGAATGTAAGAGCTTTATGTGTGTGAGAAGGAGTCATGTGTGAGATGTAAGAGCTTGTGTGTGAGACGAAGTCATGTGTGAGATGTAAGAGCTTGTGTGTGAGAGGGAGTCATGTGTGAGATGTAAGAGCTTGTGTGTGAGAGGGAGTCATGTGTGAGATGTAAGAGCTTGTGTGTGAGAGGGAGTCATGTGTGAGATGTAAGAGCTTGTGTGTGAGAGGGAGTCTGTGTGAGATGTAAGAGCTTGTGTGTGAGAGGGAGTCATGTGTGAGATGCAAGAGCTTGTGTGTGAGAGGGAGTCATGTGTGAGATGTAAGAGCTTCATGTGTGTGAGAAGGAGTCATATGTAAGAAATAAGAGCTTCATGTGTGTGAGAGGGAGTCATGTGTGAGATGTAAGAGCTTGTGTGTGAGAGGGAGTCATGTGTGAGATGTAAGAGCTTCATGTGTGTAAGAAGCAGTCATATGTAAGAAATAAGAGCTTCATGTGTGTGAGAGGGAGTCATGTGTGAGATGTAAGAGCTTGAATGTGAGAGGGAGTCATGTGTGATATGTAAGAGCTTCATGTGTGTGAGAAGGACTCATATGCAAGATGTAAGAGCTTCATGTGTGTGAGAGGGAGTCATGTGTGAGATGTAAGAGCTTGTGTGTGAGAGGGAGTCATGTGTGAGATGTAAGAGCTTCATGTGTGAGAGGGAGTCATGTGTGAGATGTAAGAGCTTGTGTGTGAGAGGGAGTCATGTGTGAGATGTAAGAGCTTGTGTGTGAGAGGGAGTCATGTGTGAGATGTAAGAGCTTGTATGTGAGAGGGAGTCATGTGTGAGATGTAAGAGCTTGTGTGTGAGAGGGAGTCATGTGCGAGATGTAAGAGCTTCATGTGTGAGAGGGAGTCATGTGCGAGATGTAAGAGCTTCATGTGTGAGAGAGAGTCATGTGCGAGATGTAAGAGCTTCATGTGTGAGATGTAAGAGCTTCATGTGTGAGAGGGAGTCATGTGTGAGATGTAAGAGCTTCATGTGTGAGAGGGAGTCATGTGTGAGATGTAAGAGCTTCATGTGTGAGAGGGAGTCATGTGTGAGATGTAAGAGCTTCATGTGGGGAGGGAGTCATGTGTGAGATGTAAGAGCTTCATGTGTGAGAGGGAGTCATGTGTGAGATGTATGAGCTTGTGTGTGAGAGGGAGTCATGTGTGAGATGTAAGAGCTTCATGTGAGAGGGAGTCATGTGTGAGATGTAAGAGCTTCATGTGTGAGAGGGAGTCATGTGTGAGATGTAAGAGCTTCATGTGTGAGAGGGAGTCATGTGTGAGATGTAAGAGCTTCATGTGTGAGAGGGAGTCATGTGTGAGAGTTAAGAGCTTCATGTGTGAGAGGGAGTCATGTGTGAGATGTAAGAGCTTCATGTGTGAGAGGGAGTCATGTGTGAGATGTAAGAGCTTCATGTGTGAGATGTAGAGCTTCATGTGTGAGAGGGAGTCATGTGTGAGATGTAAGAGCTTCATGTGTGAGAGGGAGTCATGTGTGAGATGTAAGAGCTTCATGTGTGAGAGGGAGTCATGTGTAGATGTAAGAGCTTCATGTGTGAGAGGGAGTCATGTGTGAGATGTAAGAGCTTCATGTGGGGAGGGAGTCATGTGTGAGATGTAAGAGCTTGTGTGTGAGGGAGTCATGTGTGAGATTTAAGAGCTTGTGTGTGAGAGGGAGTCATGTGTGAGATGTAAGAGCTTGTGTGTGAGAGGGAGTCATGTGTGAGATGTAAGAGCTTGTGTGTGAGAGGGAGTCATGTGTGAGATGTAAGAGCTTCATGTGTGAGAAGGAGTATGTGTGAGATGTAAGAGCTTCATGTGTGAGGAGTATGTGTGAGATGTAAGAGCTTGTGTGTGCGAGGGAGCCATGTGTAAGATCTAAGAGCTTCATGTGTGAGAAGGAGTATGTGTGAGATGTAAGAGCTTCATGTGTGAGGAGTATGTGTGAGATGTAAGAGCTTGTGTGTGAGAGGGAGTCATGTGTGAGATGTAAGAGCTTGTGTGTGAGAGGGAGTCATGTGTGAGATGTAAGAGCTTGTGTGTGAGGGAGTCATGTGTGAGATGTAAGAGCTTGTGTGTGAGAGGGAGTCATGTGTGAGATGTAAGAGCTTGTTTGTGAGAGGGAGTCATGTGTGAGATGTAAGAGCTTGTGTGTGAGAGGGAGTCATGTGTGAGAAGTAAGAGCTTGTGTGTGAGAGGGAGTCATGTGTGAGATGTAAGAGCTGTGTGTGAGAGGGAGTCATGTGTGAGATGTAAGAGCTTGTGTGTGTGAGGGAGTCATGTGTGAGATGTAAGAGCTTCAAGTGTAAGAGGGAGTCATGTGTGAGATGTAAGGGCTTGTGTGTGAGAGGGAGTCATGTGTGAGATGTAAGAGCTTCATGTGTGAGAGGGAGTCATGTGTGAGATGTATGAGGTTGTGTGTGAGAGGGAGTGTCATGTGTGAGATGTAAGAGCTTCATGTGTGTGAGAAGGAGTCATATGTAAGAAATAAGAGCTTCATGTGTGTGAGAGGGAGTCATGTGTGAGATGTAAGAGCTTGTGTGTGAGAGGGAGTCATGTGTGAGATGTAAGAGCTTCATGTGTGTAAGAGCAGTCATATGTAAGAAATAAGAGCTTCATGTGTGTGAGAGGAGTCATGTGTGAGATGTAAGAGCTTGAATGTGAGAGGAGTCATGTGTGATATGTAAGAGCTTCATGTGTGTGAGAAGGACTCATATGCAAGATGTAAGAGCTTCATGTGTGTGAGAGGGAGTCATGTGTGAGATGTAAGAGCTTGTGTGTGAGAGGGAGTCATGTGTGAGATGTAAGAGCTTCATGTGTGAGAGGGAGTCATGTGTGAGATGTAAGAGCTTGTGTGTGAGAGGGAGTCATGTGTGAGATGTAAGAGCTTGTGTGTGAGAGGGAGTCATGTGTGAGATGTAAGAGCTTGTATGTGAGAGGGAGTCATGTGTGAGATGTAAGAGCTTGTGTGTGAGAGGGAGTCATGTGCGAGATGTAAAGAGCTTCATGTGTGAGAGGGAGTCATGTGCGAGATGTAAGAGCTTCATGTGTGAGAGAGAGTCATGTGCGAGATGTAAGAGCTTCATGTGTGAGATGTAAGAGCTTCATGTGTGAGAGGGAGTCATGTGTGAGATGTAAGAGCTTCATGTGTGAGAGGGAGTCATGTGTGAGATGTAAGAGCTTCATGTGTGAGAGGGAGTCATGTGTGAGATGTAAGAGCTTCATGTGGGGAGGGAGTCAGTGTGAGATGTAAGAGCTTCATGTGTGAGAGGGAGTCATGTGTGAGATGTATGAGCTTGTGTGTGAGAGGGAGTCATGTGTGAGATGTAAGAGCTTCATGTGAGAGGGAGTCATGTGTGAGATGTAAGAGCTTCATGTGTGAGAGGGAGTCATGTGTGAGATGTAAGAGCTTTCATGTGTGAGAGGGAGTCATGTGTGAGATGTAAGAGCTTCATGTGTGAGAGGGAGTCATGTGTGAGATGTAAGAGCTTCATGTGTGAGAGGGAGTCATGTGTGAGATGTAAGAGCTTCATGTGTGAGAGGGAGTCATGTGTGAGATGTAAGAGCTTC